CCCGGGGTCTCCTTCCTGTCTGTGACAATCCCAAGCCATGCCAGTCGGAGCTGATCGTGCTGGAGCACGGGTCCTACAGCGGAGACCCCGTAACCAAAGTGCTGCTGCAGCCGCTGACAGGTGGGAGCTCAGGGATGGGACAGTGTGGGCACAGGGGGGCGGCAGCCCCAGGAGCTCAGACGTGGCCCATGGGGTCAGGTACAGCCCAGGGCCCATCCCCAACAGCACAAGATTGTGTTGAGAGCTGAGTGAGGGAGGTGAAAATCCTGCTCTGCTCTGCACTGGGGTGGCCTCACCTCCAGTACTGGGGGCAGTTTGGGCACCACAGGAGAAAAAGGATCTACAGCTGCTGGGGAGTGTCCAGAGGAGGGACACTGGCATGAACAGGGATGTGACCAGGAGGATGAGGGAGTGTGATAGAATTAGACCCCTCTGTTCAACACTTGTTAGATCATTTCCAGATACCACATCAACAAGCTGGGGTGAGGTCAGTGAGGTCCCCAGGGAAGTCAGGGCTGAAGCACTTGCCCTGGGAGGAGAGGTCACAGGAGCAGGGCTTGGTCAGCACGGATGAGGTTGGCCATGAGGAAAAGGTTCTTGAGGCAGAGGGTGGTGGAACACTGGAACAGGCTCCCCAGGGAGGTGCTCATGGCACCAAGCCTGATGATAGCCAAGAAGCACTTGGCCAAGGCCCTCAGGGACATGGTCTGAATCCTGGGATTGTCCTGTGCAGGGACAGGAGTTGGACTCCATGATCCTTGTGGGTTCCTTCCAACTCACAACATTCTGTGATTCTATGGTTCTAAGATGCTGTGGTCAGTTGGGCAGAGGTGGCAGCAGGACCTGCGGTCGCAGCCCTGGGCCTTGGCATCAGCGTGGGCACACGGTGCAAAGCGAGTGGAGCTGAGAACCAGGCTCAGCTTGGAGAGGACTCAGTTCTCTGACTGGGGGTACAGGTGCCATCAGGTGCATTGTCACCTCGCACCACCATACCCTCGAGGAGGGTTTGAGGGATAACCTGTGTCACCAGTGCCCCCATTCCTGCAAAAAAAAGCGGACCCATCAGCTGCGGGTTCACTGCAGTGCCATCGGCCACCCCATCGTGGGGGACTTCACCTACAGCCACAAGAAGGACAGCAGTCCCTATAGGATGATGCTCCACGCCTACTACCTGCGCATCCCCACTGGCAAGGAGCTCATCGAGGTCTGTGCTCCCGACCCCTTTGTCACCGCCATGGACAGCAACTGGGTCCCTCACCACATCACTCACCAGCTGGATGAGACCATCCAAGAGCTGAAGGACAAGACGATGCAGAAGGAGGAAGAGGAGGAGAGCCAAGAAGCTGTGCTTGGTGGAGAGGGAGAGGAGGCTCGGAGTGAAGCCAGGAGCCCGGAGGCGGAGGAGCAGCGAGGCCGGTGTGAGCAGTGGTTGGCCGAGTGGGCTTTGGAGTGAGCACACACCACGTCTCTGCATTTCCAGCCCGATGCTCCATTCCTGTCCCAGCGGGTCCCCTGCGGAGCCCAGCGCTGACTCCACATCCGCACTCGCTGTACGCCGTGGCTTCCCTCACTCCTGGGGCTGGGATCAGGCAGATTTTAGCAGCAGATTAGGATGGGTTTATTTCTTGTTGTACACATCATCCATCCGGCCACTGGATGCCCCTTTCCTAATTCTGAGCCTCAGCAGCAGAGTCAGTGTGTCACCTACCAGCTTTGAGTGACCCCAAAGCTTTATGTCCCTGTCCCAGGGCTCAAGCACAGCCGGGGCAGCACGGTCACTGCCTTTGCCACCACGGACGTACCCGCAAACCCTCGGGGCTGGGATGCTGAAACACAGCCTGGCACGGGGAGGGGAGGACACGCCAGCTGTAGCTTCAGTGTCCGTGTCCCCAGTTCCCTTTGCCCCCACCCACTGTGCTCTCTGGCACACACATTGCGTGGGAGGTGGGAGATCAGGAGGCTGAAGTGCAGCTTGGAGGCACCACAAGCCCCCCAGGTCCTGGGGTGGCCCTGGGTGTTTTGCCCATGGAGCTGGGCTGTGTGACGGGCACAGGAGGGGTCCCTGCCCTCATGCTGTCCCTCCTGCCTCAGCCCACAGTGGGGTTTTTAAAGGTTTATTGAAAATGAGTGAACCTGCTTTAGCAGGGGGGGAGTTGGACTAGTTGATCTCCAGAGGTCCCTTCCAATCCCCACCATTCTGTGATTCTGTGATTTTAAACTTTTTTCAGATTTCTTCAAGAAGAATCAAGTCTTTTAATGGTCTGAAATACGGGTGGGCTCGGAAACACGTGTGGTTTTAGTCCCTCTGTGGTCAGATAACCAGCAGCCCAAAGCTTTTCTCATAGATCTTATTACTCCTTCTACTGGCTTTGCCTTTTCTCAGTGCCCACTTCTCTCCTTGGTGTGGAGGTAACCCCTGCTGAGACGGGTCAGAAGGCAGGACATTTGGGTGGGCAGTTTGGGTTCTGGAGCAGGGAGAGCAGCCAAGGAAATGGCTGAAGCAGAAAGGTTGATGTCAAAAGAGGGAAGGAGCTTTAAGGTCCCTTCCAACCCAAACCAGTCTGGGATTCTGTGAATGCCCTTGCTTCACCAGCCAGCACCATGCTGCTTTGCTCTCTCCTTCCCACCCAGCTTGTTCTCTCAACATGAGTCAGCAGAGAGCCCAGGTGGCCAAGAAGGTCAAGGGCATCCTGGCCTGGATCAGCACTGGTGTGGCCAGTAGGACCAGGGAAGTTCTCTTCCCCCTGCACTGGGCACTGGTGAGGCTGCAGCTGGAGTGCTGGGTTCAGTGTTGGGCCCCTGAGTCCAAGAAGGACATGGAGGTGCTAGAGCGTGTCCAGAGAAGGGAACGGAGCTGGGGAAGGGTCTGGAGCACAAGTGTGCTGAGTTCCCTTGTGGCTGAGGGAACTGGGGGGGTTGAGCCTGGAGAAAAGGAGGCTGAGGGGAGACCTTGTGGCTCTGTCCAAGTCCCTTGGAGGAGGGTGGAGAGAGGTGGGGGTGGGTCTGTTCAACCAAGGACCAAGTGACAGGACAAGAGGAAATGGGCTCCAGTTGTGGCCAGGGCAGTTGAGATGGGATGTGAGGAAGAATTTCTTTGCTGAAAGGGTTCTGAGGCATTGGAAGGGGTTGCCCAGGGCAGTGGTGGAGTCCCCATCCCTGGAGGGATTGAAGAGTCGTGTAGACATAGTGCTGAGGGACATGGGTTAGTCATAGGGGACTGGTCAGTGTTGGGTTCATGGTTGGACTCTGGGATCCTGTGCAGCCCACAGAGGACGTTTAGAAGATGAGGAGAGTGGTGCGTGGCTGGGGACAAGGTCACCTCACTTTCATGGCTTGGCACAAAGCGCTGCCATCCACTGCAGGGTGGGGACAGCCGTGGGCACCCAGTGGGGACCAAGCTGGTGGCAGAGGTCTCAGCAGAGTTTGAAGAAGCAGGAGATCCATCTCCTCCCTGCTAGGCCCCATCCCTGTCTGTCCCGTCCCCCAGGAATGGCTGGGGAGGGGACCCAGCCACAGGCGTGTCCCAAAGCTGTAAATTCACACCATGAACCTGTTTGCCAAAGAATGACAGTGGGTGACGTGTGCAGGAGGCCCTGGAAAGTGACAGGAGAGATTTGCAGCACCAGAGGTGGGACGCAGCCGTCCCTTCCCACGGGCCCCAGTGTGGGAACGGTCCCCGCTGTGTGGCAGGGACGTGTCTGAAACAAGGTTGCCCTCGGCCGTGGGGCTGGTGGTCACTGGGGGTGGTACGTGGGGACACGGCGGTGGGGACACGGCGGTGACCTCGCACAAAGGGATGCTGGTCAGTGGCACCCAGTGCTCACCCCACCCTGCACCCCCCAGCAGCCTTTGTGTGTTGGTTGCACTTCTACCCAACATTGCAGGAACCAGAGAAATAGAGAGAAATAGAGATACAGATATTTTCCTTACCCTGCAGAGGTCTTCTCCAGGCTCCACTCCTGCTCCCTCCTCCCTGCCGTCACTGGGACGTTGGCTGCACCGCCTGTGACTCCGCTGGGACCGGGGGTGTGTGTGTGTCTCGTGACGTCCTGTCCCGCTCGCGCTAACCCCCGGTTCTTGTTGCACACGACCGTAATAAAAACCATCCCCGATGTGTCCTGCACGTCTCCCTCCGGTCTCTCCACGCCGCGTGGCACGGGATGGTTCTGCACCGTGGCTGGTGGTGCCAAGGGCTTCCAGGAATGAGCCCAGACTGGCACAGTGGGACCAGTCCCAGAGCTCCAACCCAGCCAACCTGTTGTGTGAGCACCAACACTCATCCTCACCCTGATGAAATCCCCCTGGCCGAAACCACCAGCATTATCCACCCGAAAGCCCTCTCGGATTTAGTAACTGACACAGATGACCAAGGATGCTCGAGGAAGCTGGGGCAGATACCACTGCCCTGGCCCGTCCCTGCCCGCTGCCCATCCCAGTCAGCACCAACATCTGGGATTGTCCTGAACCAAAGAGCAGGGACGGAAGCAAAACTCATCATTTCAAAACACCCCAGTGTTCCCTGGCAGGGAAATGGGGGAGCAGCTCCAGGGCTGCCGGTGTTTCGGGGGTGCATGGGGAAAGCTGCCACCACGCATGATTTCTATATCACACTTGTATGTCAACAGTCATTCCTTGGGTTGGAGAAGCTGGAGAAGTGAGTGAAGACCCAAAGGAATTATTTGCAGTCTTCAGGTTGTGAGATTTTAAGGTTATAAACCTGGTAAGGGTGGAGAAGCAGGTGGTGAAGAGTGTTTCCAGTCCACCCAGTGTCGGGAGACGCAGTTGGTGCCCATCACCCACCTACCATCGGTGCCCACCACCCACCCCCAAGGTCCCCAGGGAAGGAGCTTGGGAAGATGCTTCCCAGCACATTCAGGTTTGGGGTGGATTCTCCTGAGGTTGTTTCAGGGCCAGTTTCAAGCTCCATGGGGACGTGGTGGACGTGGTGACCCACAAAGGGGCCCTGATGTGTCCCTCCCCTTCCAGCCACCTCTGAGCAGCAAGCCTGCGGCGGGGGCTGTGTCCCACCAGCAGCCTCATAGCAAACGAGTTTCTGTAATTTTCCCACTGCAACAAGAGCTATTTTTACAGCAAATCCTTCCAAAATAGAAAGCAGAAACACCTGCGGGCGTTGGCCGAGCTCTGCTGCTGCAGGACCGGACCGGTTGCTCGGTGGGGGACGGGAACATCAGCCAGGATGTCCCGGGATAAATGCTCAGACAATACGTTTGTGTCGGGCTCCTCCAGGTTTTCATCCCCCAGCCTCGGAAAAACTTCCTTTTTTTTTTTTGTCTCCTTCTTCATAGAATCCCAGACTGGTTTGGGTTGGAAGGGACCTTAAAGCTCATCCAGTCCCAACCCCCCTGCCAGCAGCAGGGACACCTTCCACTAGACCAGGTTGCTCAAAGCCTCATCCAGCCTGGCCTTCAACACTTCCAGGGAGGAGCAGCCACAGCCTCCCTGGGCAACCTGGGACACTGTCTCACCACCCTCACACCAAAGAATTTCTTCCTCACATCTCAGCTCCATCTACTCTTGTCCAGTTTATAACCATTGCCCCTTGTTATAATATAAAAAAATATAAATAAATAATACAAATAACCCATCTCTCTTTGGATGGAGCATTACATCTGATGAGTTCCCAGCTGAGGGAACTGGGGGTGTTGAGCCTGGAGAAAAGGAGGCTGAGGGGAGACCTTGTGGCTCTGTCCAAGTCCCTTGGAGGAGGGTGGAGAGAGGTGGGGGTGGGTCTGTTCAACCAAGGACCAAGGGACAGGACAAGAGGAAATGGGCTCCAGTTGTGCCCAGGGCAGTTGAGATTGGATGTGAGGAAGAATTTCTTTGCCACAGCTTCTCTGGCCAACCTGGGCCAGGGTCTCACCACCCTCACAGCAAAGAATTTCTTCCTCACATCTCATCTCCATCTCCCCTCTCCCAGTTTCAAGCCGTTAATGGCAGGTGCTGGATGGCATCTCAGAGCAGGGTCTGAAATCGTGGGGAGAAAGCTGTAGAAAAGGGAAGGGGATTGTCCATGGTGAAGGCAAGCTTGTCCATGGTGATTGTCCAAGCTTGTCCAAGCAAGGTTGTCCATGGTGAAGGCAGCTCCAGGGGCAGATGTGTGGGAAGCACCTCCCGGAGGGGTGCTGAGCCATCGCTCCTCTGTCCTGCACCCCAGTTACCCTATCAAATTTATCCCTGAATAACTCGAAAGGTTTTTCACTAACTGGGAAAACTTTTGTCTCCATCAAGAGCAGAGAAATCACCAAACCAGATGATTCAACTCCTTCACCCTGAAGTTCAAAGTGACCTTTTACAAAGGAAAAAAAAAAAAAGAAAAGAAAGGAGAAAAAATAAAAAGAAGAAAAAAGCAAGAAAGAAGAAACCAAAACCGGGAGAGAGAAAAGCAGCAGCTTTACAAAACACCGTTGGGAAACTGCCCCGTCACACCCCGTG